TCTTTTGGGGTCCTCCATAATTTTTAAAAGTGGGAAGGGGTCCTGAGAGAAAAAAAGTTTATGAAATACTGAACTAAAGAGTTTAATGCTGGACATTGTCTAAATGGGAGACTGCCAAAGAACTTCATGTACAACACTATGAGTTCGATCATGGAAGGAAGGCATGCAGTAAATAATGGATAATAAAAGAGTACCATCATTCCAAAACTGTCAATAGGCTTCCTGAAAATAAAATAATACAAAGAGGACTGTATTCACTTATGTCCATTCTATGACAGAACATTCAGTAAACACGCAGCAGCTTCTTAACTTAGATGATTTTCTGATTTTCCTTTGCTCTATAGCTCCCTCCACTGTAAATTTGCTTCAAAAGGTTAGGAGGTCTTCTGAAGAATAGCATGTAGTGCAGGAGACTGAAGGAGGAAAAAGAGATCTGCAAAAATATTTTCTTTCATTGTGTAGACCAAACTGTCAGTGAAAAGCACAATTGGAAAAAAAATAACATATGCCAGGCAGAAATTATGGCTTTTAGGAATGCCACTTTCCAAGTATTACGCTCTAAGCCTCAGTTGATAGAAGTTCTAGTTGAGGGTCCCATGATGATACTTGGTGGTATAACAGAGAGGCTTGTCTTATGAATCTCTTGACATGGCAATGGCTAAAACTGAGATGCTAAAACTGTGGAGAGGACTGATACCTGCTTACAGAGGATACTCGTTAGAGTTACTGATCAAGGCCCAACCTTAAGAAGTGTAGGAGGACAATGTGTTGGCCTTTTAAGAAAGCCAGGAATTTCCTCAGAGTTAAGCACATTGTGTACAATTCTAAGAGTTCATGGTGCCCTGAGCTGCTTCTTCCAGCTAGACCTAGGGGACTATTTAGCTTAGGCAGTGCACCCCCCATTCTGAGCCCAGAATCTGTGCTGAATTACACACAGTGGAAGGGAGATTTGCTGTAATTGCAGAACCTAATGGACCAAAAATGCTGAGAATGCCTGGCAGAGAAAATCCACTGCAGGGGACAGGAGTAATGAATCTATGCAGGTGATGATCAAGAAGTTCAGGCAGCTGGTGTGAAGGACTGATGTGACTAGCTGCTGGATAATCTTCTTTCGCCCCTTTAGCAGAGAGAGATCTTTTTTTGGTGTCCAGGATGGTGCTCAGGTGCTGCTTATGGTATGCATTTATTAAAAAATACTCATCTACATTTATTAGAAAAATCTGCATCCTGTGGCCCAAAAGTCCCTTCATCCTGTTTGATTGATGGAATCAGATCAACAGGTCAACTAGTTGCAGACAAATGTGTACTTCCTGGGACCTGAGATGCCTGTGATAGTCACCACTGCTTTCATGAATACTCTGGGAAATGCTAATAAGCTGAATGAAAATTGACAATAGGTGCCTTTCGATGACATGGGGGATGAGATGAACTGATCTCAAGGGGCTTGATGAATCAATTATATAATGGTAAGAGACCATATTTAAAACACATGTCTGAAGTTACATTGATTCATAGGTAAGCAACCTATATTAGTCTCCTGCCCATGGGAGGTTGGAGTGATCATTGTTTGCGTCCGCCCTTTTCCTATGGGAAAAAGCATTCCCCCTGGGCTAAGGCTGGGATAGGTGTGATCTCTTTTCAGTTCTCTGCCACCCTGGTGGTCTGTGATCCTTATGGTCTGAGGTTCTGCTTTTGGTGGAGTAGAAACAAGAGGTTACGCCTGGCATTCAGCTGCTCTTGTCTTCATGTACTTTGACAGTTATGGGTAGGCCTTCCCTGGAGATTCTGGGGTACAAAGTGATTGCTATGCCTTTAGGAAGGGAGCATCACTAGTGGAGTCACTTTTATAGCTTAAATGTTACTGTTCTATTACTAAAAACCCATGGGGGAGACTGAGTGCCTGGTGCCACCAGCTTTTATCCCCTTTGTGCCTATGCTATCCCATTCCCCAAAGATAAGCAACAACAAGCTCTCTCTTTCTGAGAGGCACATGGTTTGCAGCCAGCAATTTGGAAGCTGGACCACTGACTATTGGGGTGGCAGGGAGGATCTCTGGCTTCAATCATTGCTGCATGGTTGAAGCCAGACCCCTTGCTTGCCCTCACCATCAGAATCAGAGTTATCTGCTGACAGTGGATTGCTGTCTGTTAATATGATGACCATTTCAACAAAGAAGGTAAAGACCACAGTACAAATTAAGAACAACAGGAAAAGGGACTGGGAAAGGAAAATAATTGGAGGCACAAATGTATGACTGGGTTGATCCTGACTGGCTCTGCTGTAGAGAAAGAAAGAAGAATTTTAAAAGGTGTTTGCCTCTAAAGTTCCAAGTATATGTTACCGATTATTGCCAGGAACCCCTTCAGATCTTAAAATATCTCTAGGAGAAAGAATTTGGGAATGCCTTAGCAACAAAGGAAGTCCAGACCATTAGATTTGGGATACAACACATTATTTCTATACGATAGTCACTATATATATTCACATTCAGAGAATGAAGATTCAACTTGGTCTTGGACTATAAATAAATGTTGATTAAGATTCAATTTCTGTTCACTTCAGATTTATAGAATAGGCCTATTATAGTCACCTTAGTTTACTTTCACTGGGAGGGATCTGAAATAACAGTGTTTCTGAACTGTAGCAGGACAACATGATAAACTTCCATTCTGTAGTAGGACAACATGACCAAACTTCCATTCTGTTAAGGCTCTGATACTATGTTGCCACAAGCAATTCCTAGTGATAGAAGGAAGTATCCATGTCCTGCCTATGGCTAAACATCAATTTTGGTCTGGCTGGTGAAACTGGATCATTTGAGCTGTCGCAAAACAAATTTCTGCATGTTAATGAATTTCTATATTCTTCTCTCCTTCCCCGTTCAGAATCCCAGTATAGCTGCATGCTGGGACCTACCGATACTTAGCCTACACAAAAGAATATCCATTTTAAACATTCAAAAAACATTTTTATCAGCATGGGTACATCTTTGTATAGGATGAGACAGAACAAATAGATCATCAATATGTAAAATAATCAGAATATAAAACTTACAACTTCATCTTCAAATCCTCCAGCCAACACAAGGGAGTAAGCTCCATCATTACTACGTCCATGGATTCCACCAACGTGAGGTCTATGAACACCAGCTTCACTCACCTTTAAGATAAAACAAGTAAATTTAAAATACGTTCCTATTTTTAATAGCAGAGTTATTTGGCCACAAATAACATATCAGTGCATCTAATTAAAATACTTTAATCTTGTTTTCCTGAATAAATGTATTCAAAAACTACTAAATTGTACTCAAAATGCTTCCCAGTTTCAAAAGTATTTTGTCATATATTATAGTGCTGCAGTTAAAAAGTATATTTAAAATTTGAGTCCCTAGAGCAAAGTAAACTTAGTTTTGGCCATTATCCAAGACAAAAAGTTTATCTTAGAGTAAAAATATTATCCCAGGGTCACAAAAAGTTCACTTATATTAGTTTGCTGATGGGGTTCTATCCAGTGCAACAATGGGAGAAATTCAAAAGTAACTACTAGTATAACATAAAAGCTAACTGGCCACAAATACGATATTAGAAAACCCAAGTTATAATTTATACACTCATGCAAATGACACAGCAGTGAAACAGAAGAGTAGAATACAATATATAGAAAGTATATCTACATACCTGCACTCTAAATTTCCATGTTGCCCCAACAGGAACACCAGGTATAGGTCCATAATGGTTAGAAGGAACAATAGTGCATTCCTTAGTACGGCCAACACAGGCCATGCCCTACCAACATCAGGAGAACACAGCAAACAATTAATCATAGTAGTTGTGAAACTTTATGAAGAAATACATGTTTTAGCAATGTTTTAATCCATGGCTTATTGAGATAGGGATATTCAAAAGCCGTTTTGAAAACAGGCTGTTGTTCTAGAGTCAATATAAAAATGTTCCCAAGTGGCTTTGCTCATTTTTTTGAGAACAGCTACTGTGAAATATATATACATAAATTAGCAAATTTCCTTGTTAATAGCAGCATATAAAAGACAGCATAAAAATTAAACTGTTTTTTTTTCATATGGCAGATATATTTACAGGTAGTCCTCACTTAATGTCCACTCCTTCAGAGACCACTCAAAGTTACAACAGCGCTGAACAAGGGGGACTTATAACAGGTCCTCGTAGTTGCGGCCATCGCAGTGTCCCCACGGTCACATGATTGTGATTTGGGCACTTGGCAACTGGCTCGCAATTACAATGTGGCAGCATCCAGTGATCATGTGATTGCCATTTGCAACCTTCACTGCTGGCTTTTGACAAGCAAAGTCAATAGGGAAGCCAGTAGGAGGTTGCAAATGGCAATCACATGACCGAGGGATGCTGCAACCACACGGGATTCACCAAACCACGCAACTGGGACTACCACAACTGCTGCCATTATTCAACATGGTCACATGACGTCATGCCTTATGATTGCACTGCTTAGTGATGGAGTTCCCAGCCCCAATTACTGTCAGTAGTCAGTAAGGACTACTATATTTAGATATTTTATAACATACTTTTTCAATTATGGTTTTCAGAGTTCTCCATCCAGACTAGGTAGAACAAAATCTTTCACTGGAACCAATCAACAGAATTTTTTCTAATCTGGATTAAAATTCCATTATTAACCCTTATCTCAGCCATTATTGAAGTCTCTTAGCTTCCAAAGGATTTTCATTTAGATGGTACAAGCATATATCATAAGAGGCACCATCTTAGAAGAACTATTTCTATTTATAAGAGGAAAGAGGCTTTTCTAAAAGTATAACAGCCAATTTATTAGCATTCAAATAACAGAGTGGGCAACATCCAATTGCCCCTTGGGAAAGTATCACACAACTCAGAAACCACTGGCATTTTCTCTGGATTATACACAGGCACCATGCACTGACCCTTTGGTGGCAGATACATGGAAAGCTTTTGATGAAATTCTTAACGAACAGACAGGTTCACAATGAGGCAGGGAAATCTTTCAGATACCATAGTACCAAGCTACATAACTCTTCCTAGGTTTATTAAATTGTGCCCCAGAAACAGACTAGAACCCAGTTAAGACTTTAGTTCAAATATTATCCACCTGAACAGCTCCTCTCAACAGTTTCACTGCTGTATTCTGAACTAAGTGAATATCTGAAGTACTCTTATCCAAGACCATCCATATACAAAGCATTGTAGTATTCATGCTTGAGAGTTCTGATGTTGCCAACAAAGCTAAAATAATCAAAATCAATCTACTTGCATCTAACAGGAGCCACAAATGCCACAGCAGTAATCTAAAACAATGCCAAAGATGTTGTGATATAGATAATTAACTTGTGATTCTCTAGCATAAAGGCTGGCAATCTGTTTTTTAAAACTGTAGTTACTTTTAAAAGTAACACTAAAATAATAAACATCATTTCACTTTGCCAGCAACATAGAAGGAGAAAAAGCACACTCTAAATCATTATTAGTTTCAACTCCTAATCATGATTTCAATTCCATACTATGTTTACTAAAAATCATAGTAGGGTATGATATTTAAAATGAGTCAAAAAGTGTTTGCGTCTAACATTTTTTTGGGGGGGGGAGGAGAGAGATTACTTCTGAAACAATTTTTAATTATATGAAAGTTTACACAGAGTTGGTCAATTAACTGATCAGCTAAAACTCAGATAATTCTAACCTAGCATGTAAGTAGCTAATAGTGACATCAGGTGGCCTTTCTGAGTTTTTGTTTTTGGGGATTATTTTATGTAGGAATTACTTTTCATACTTGGATTATGAAGTTATGGAGGACATGAGGGAACAATTATTATTTTGTTATTATTTTTAGATTCTTGAAATAGTCTAACTGGGCAGTATATAAGTGATGAAATAAATAAATAAATAAATGCAAACAATAACCTAGTTTGCATGTTTAGAGAGAATATATACAACAGTATCTATTTGTAAATATTATTTACCTTGCCCCAATCTCGCTGGCTGTCAGTGCAGGCAGATGGCATCTTTGCTTTCTTTTTACTTTGTTTGAGCTTTTCCCCAGCTTTTACAACTTCATTAGAATCATTTTTACAGGAAGGACAGTACCTAAAATATTAATTACTTTAAAATCTATTAAACTATAAATAAGAATAACACCAACAAATGAATTTCATGCAATATGGACCTAAAACACAGCTCCTTGTGGCTTTATATTTCTTATTTTTTCCTTTATATTTCTTGCAACTTCTTGTAAATTCCTTTCCTTCACCTCTTTTAATCCTATGGATATTATTTATTTACAGTATTGCATTTATACCTTTTTTTTTTTTTTTTTTTTTTTTTTTGCTCATGGTGGGATGTAATTTTATCACTATAGTATCTTGTGAGAGAGACTAGACTGCCAGATTGACTCAAAATTATCTAGTGAGCTCCATGATTGACTAAACCACCAAAGTCTCAGTTCAAGACCTATACTGTACAGGTAATCTTAGAACAACAATTGGCTTACAATGGCAATTGAGACCAGAATGTCTGTCGCTAAGTGGTGAGGTTGTGAAGTGTGACCACATCGCTTAGCAACGGCAATCCCTGCAGTCCCGGTTGCCACCATTAACTGAATTCCAAGGTCGTTAGGCGAGGCAACTTCCTGCCAGCTTCCCACAACCAAAGTCAGTGGGGAAGCCAGCAGGAAGTTGCAAGTCCCAGGCCAGCAGGCAGGTAAGTGGCTGCTGCCGGGTGGGGGAGGGAGCAAAGGGGAACACGAGGGTGAGTTGGGGAGGATGTGTAAGGGTGCGAGGGAGGGTCAGAGAGGCTGTGCAAGGCCTGGGTCAGGAAGGGTGAGGGGGGTGCACAAGAGTCACAGCACATGTAGGGAAGGGTGCATGAATGTGCGAGCGAGAGGCGCAGCACAGGTCAAGGAGGGTGCACCACACCAGTTGGGGAGGGTGCACAAGGGTGTGAGAGAGGTATGGCGAGAGTTAGGGAGGGTGCACAGGAGTGCAGGAATGGCCAGTGCAGCGCGAGTGCAGAGGGGTTGGGTGAGGATGCACGGGTGGGGAAACCTACCCCAGTGACTTGTGACATTCCCTGCCAGGTTCCCCATTGACTTTCTGGGGAAGTCAGCAGGGAAGGTTGCAAATGGTGATCACATGATCACGGGGAAGCTGCAACCAGTCATAAATGCGAACCGGTTGCCAAGCACCCAGATTGCTATCATGTGACCGCAGGGGTGCTGGGACAGCCGGAACTCTGAGGACCGGTTGTAACCACCATTCGTTCAGCGCCATCATAACTTCAAAAGGTCGCTGAACGAATGGTTGTAGGTCAAGGACTAACTGTATTTGCATATAACAGACAAAAAACCCTTCTAATTTTATTTCTGTGTTCAACTGTTCACTATCAATTATTTTGAGTATGTACTGACATCCTGACCTTGATGTCTAATACTTTTCAAAAGGCAATAGTGAACTATCTTTTAAGGCAGGAAAATGCTGGGAAGGTTACATAATGGGATCCAAGGTTAAATCAGTTACCTACCACCAACCCAATGCCAGTAAAAGAGGTGAAACAGAAATCAACAGCATCAATTGCATTTCCTTCACTGTATTAGGTAGGGCTGTTCTTCTATATCATACTTTCCCTCAAATACTGTATTAGGGTTTTGGCCTTGAAATAAACAGGGCAAGGTTAGACATAATTTGCTGCTCCTCTCTCGGCTTCAAGCTTGGATCTGACAATGTGAAATGCAAAACTAAACCATGATCCCATTTTACCACCATTCCAGCATGTGTGCCCAACAACCACTGCCAAGACACAAAGAACTAGGACAAATCTCACATATTTGTCCAATATAGGAGTTACATGAGGAAAGCTGGGATCATCACTCTCCCCTGCAGCTGCAGGTTTAGGATAAGCATCTGAATATCACATTTGCTAGCAGCTGGCTAAGCAAACAATATAACAATTATACTGCCCAAGATAATTAGGCCTTGATTTTGAGCAAGCACTACTGAATGAAATTTATCCTAATTAGACAGGTTTTGTGCTCAACAACTCCTGGATATTCTCTATGAGAAGAAAGAAAAAATATACTATCTCAGCAAATACTTGCAAAATTCATCATTCTACAAAAAATTGTGTGGTATTCCAAATTTAGCTTCTCTTTCTAAAAGACTGCAGTTATTTTGAAATTCTGAGTATTTGGGGTGAATTGCAAACAAACAATGTCCTGGTGCACACTGTTCAACAGCTTCTATTTGGCTCCTCCTGTCAGGAGTGGCTGAATGAATCACAGAGTTGAAGGTGATGAACAAACCATTGCTCTCAACTCTGAGTACAAGAGAATCAAGCCAAAGATTTCAATTTGCACATTATACTCAATAAATTACAGAAGGAACTATTGAATTTCTTTAGCAACTCTTGCTGGCAAAAAGAACAGGAACAATCAACCTACTTCACAATAAGCCTGTGGCTACTATACAGTGGCTTCAACATCTAATGTTACAGATAACATGAACTCCAAGAATTTCTACAGTTAAAAGTTTACAATTTAAAAGGATTACAATTCTGATTTCATCTGGACATAGGGGTTTAGAGTGTGTAGGAGAAAAATAATTTTCCCATTGTTTTAGCACTAGCAGGGCATTAGAATAACAATCTGTATCCATCAATTTTAATTATATTGACAATGAAACTGATTTTTGAATGTAGTTCTCTTTTAGTACAATATAAACAATCCAAAACTCATTCTTTCACTCACTGAATACATTACAAACTTTGTAATGAAGGAAGAGATTTACTGTTAGAGTCCTTTTCTGATGAATGAAAGAGTATATTTTGGAAGGTTTTTTTTAAAAAATCACATTTGTATGCCGCCCAACTCCCAATTACTCTGGGTGGCTCACAACAGTCAAAACAAGAAAATTACAATAAAACTAATTAAAAAGAAGGGAAAAAAGATATAATATAAAATTTGTTAATATTATATATTATAATATTATCTATAATGTTACAGAGGAACACATTCAAAAATCAGTTTTGTTACAAGTTCACAGTATTTAGGAAGCAATCACAAAAATTATGTTCCTTACCAGTCCTCATCTTCTGGTATTTTGCTTAATGGTGGGTTCAGGCAATATATGTGGTAGGCCATGTTACACTCATCACAGAGAAGTTGCATATGTGCATCCTGTTTTCCCCCACATAGATAACAAGAACAAAATCTACATTCTTTATTTGGGTCAGCTCTGCAGTGTTTACATTCAGGACCACTTTTTCCTGCAAAGGGGAAAAGAGGGAAAGAAGGAGAGAGGGAAATAAAGTGATGAAAAAGGGACTTGAACACTGACTACACATAACATTAACTATATAAGCAAACAACAAAAGCAAATACAATGATCACAAAGATTCCCTAGCTTGGCTTCCCGGGATGATAGCCACCAGGAAAGCAAATTTAAAATAATTGTAGGCTACCAGATAATCAATCATTCAAAGAGTACTGCCATCAGGCAATTGGGCTGTAATCCTCCCCACAGGAATAACAAATTTTTATAGGGAAGGAGTACAATAGAACTGGATCCACCTTAATAACATAGTTGTGAAAGCACATTATAAAGTATCTTACTGAAATCAAACAAATAATGTAGAAAATATTTTGCTCAGTGGATATCCAATCTATGCCAAACCTTGTCCATACTTATCTAGGCTTAAGACTAACACTGTTATTTGTCTGAAGCAGCAATGGAAGAGAAAATATGCAAACAAATTAAGATAAAAAAGGAAAGGTAGCTGCATAACAGTATCTGCATAACAATTTAAAAAGACATTTTAGTATTGACAGAGACAGAAGCATTGTTTCTCTGCTGGATACACAGAGTTTGGGTAGAGACTTGCATTAGAAGAAGATACAGTATACAAAAACCCAGACACAGAAATCTTATCTTGGGAGTTTTTTAACCTAGAGAAATTATTCAGAATAATGGCAATTCCCAGGGATTTACTGAATTTCTAATATTCCTACAACATACATCCCAAAGTCTTGCGCTTATGAAATGTGCACCACTACTTCCTTTGAAGTATTTGAACACAGAGAGAATTAAAGATAAATAAAGCTAATATTCAAATATTAAGAAAGAAATAAGAAATGGTGATCTGGACGACTGCAAAATACCACCACTGCTAGCCACTCCTAGGTCAGCTAACAGTCCTTCTCTAGTGGACTATCTAGTATAATTAATCATTTTATTTGTGAGAAAACCAAAACACATTTAACACAGATTAAGGAGGGACTCAAATTCTCTAACCAATGAAAGTGTACCCCAGTTAGGAGGATGCATTCTGACCGATTTTATAACAAAAATGTAGTGTTGCTAAAAGAAAAGAAAGGCCATGTACTATGAGGTGTTCACTGTTACTGGACAGAGTGTATCTGCACAGAAAGTTGGATCATAAATTGTTGGTGTTTTAATGCCCTGGAATAGAAATTCAGTCAAGACTTTACTACATTACTAGAAAATGTGCATTGTCTTACTCATTTCCCAGAATGCCTATAGAAAATTTTCTTTAGTTGGTAATTCAGTTCTGCCATCTGAATCCCTTGCATCTATAGTTTTTACTGGGGATGAAAGAGTGATTTGGTTCTTATAGTTGCACTATGTGTCTCCTCTTCTCATGAATGTGGATGGGCTTTATTTTTATTTTAACCAGTATCTTGTCTAAGGAATCACCAAAAGACCTCTTTCCTTGAAGGCACTGGAGGATAATATTGACTTAGAATTTAGCATTTATATTCCAAGTCTTCAGCCACAGATGTCTGCAAATGACATTTGAAACAATGGCTTTGGTTGAGAACTGCACTGAATATAAGTTGCTGTTGACTGTGAAAGCTGCAGTTTTGGATAGTCTGCTAACACTTTGTAGGAAATCATCTCCAAAAATTTTTTTCCACCACAGAATCACAGCTCAAACACAGATGGGGCTTCCACCACTTAAACTGCTAAAGCATTGGCCTCATGAGACTTATTCAAAGGAATGTAACTACATCTGTTGTTGGGATGTTTGGGTATGTGATCCCCATCATTTGGCATTACTAACCTGGAAACCAAGGATATCACTGTGGCATTTAACAGTGGGACTTTTAAAGCCTTGGAGGTGGCCTGCATTTGCTACAGTGGAAGACCTTTTCTTTGTACCTTTAAAGATCCAGTCGACTTTGATCATTCTTTTCAGTATATCTAGGAAGGAAAGGCTCACCAATGGATCTGGCATTGTAAAGAATGCTTTGATCTCCCCTAGGTCCAAAAGTGGATTTGTAAGTGGCTAGGATTAGGCTACTTTGAGGCTGCTGGTCTATAGCCCTTGGCCAGGAATGTGAAATCACATTGAAAAAATACCTGCACCAAGTGCCTGGTAGGCATTTTTTCATCTCCCTAAAATATCTTTCCTTCCTCACCAAGGACCTGGGGAAAAGATGATTCTTGGGGCAAGTGGAAGAAAGCTGCTTCGGCTGGTTATGTCTCCTGGAGAAGGTGCTGCTGAAGAATGGCAGCCCAAACCATCTGAACAATCTTCCAATATGTCCTCTTCCCCCATAACATCTTTTCTTTCCTAGAAACTCAATCAATTAGTAATTTACTATGGTGGTCAGGAATGAAGAAAGATTGCTCTCTGGTGCCACCTTGGTCCTATAAAAGACAATTATTTGGTTCTGCATGTCAGAACATTGGGAAGAGAAACCTAGCTAGAGATAACTTTCAGACATAAGAAAAATACTGAGGTATTAGCAGAAGAGGTTGCCCGAGTAAGCAGAGTTTAAGTATACGGCAGTGATGGCATAAATGTGCAAACCTTTGCAGACAGTAAAACTGTTGTCTTCTGATTTTCTCTACAAATACCTTTGCACAAATCACGCTATTAAAATACATACTCCTGTAATATAAACTTATTTCTATGAACTGTATATGTATTTGCTTATATGAAACAATATATTTTGTAATCAAATATATTTCTTTAAAAAATACAATGTTTAAAACACTATTCAAAAATGGGAAACCTTTCATATGCATGCAAAATACCTACTTTTGAACTCTCCATCTGCAAATGTCAGTGGATATGCTCCTGGTTTTTCAATCTTGTATATTTCCTCTATAAAACGGAGTTTGCAATCATTTATTACATCTTCTGGGCCTCTGAAAATTAAGGAACAAAAGATTCAACTCAATTTCCCTCATTCTAATTTTAATACTGTCCAGTGCAATACAACAAGGCTACATGAAATTACTGGTAGCAGTTTTAACTTTACAAATATATTATATTTTTGAGTAAGATTCACTGACTGAATTAAAAACTAATAAAAAGCATGCCTCAGACCTCCATTCTGAAAGAAGAGGAGGAGGAGGAGGAGGATCATACAACGGATATATATAGTATTAGCAACCAATTACATATTAACAGCTGTATTAAGAAAAAAATCACAAATATCTAATGTTATCAACTGGAAAACAAATTAACAATACAGGCACAACCAACCTAAATTTTATTCATTTTAACATATACAGTACATTTAATGATCAATATGGAAATAAATACAATTAAGCAAAGTACTGTCAAATACCCCCTATAAACTCATATGATGCCAAAAGAAATGGAACCAAGTAAAGAAAGATATTAATATGCTCAAGGGAATATATGTTCAAAGAGCCAAGAATTAAGCATATTCAGAAATCATAGAAAATCAAAGAAAAAAGAATCAGGGAACAAGAGGGTAGCATAGCTGATTGGCTGACATCTAAATCAGGACACTGAAGTTAAAGAAGAGGACTTTCGATTATAGGTCTCATTCATTTTAGTGGACAAGTAAAATATGTTCATTTCTTTCAGTGTAATTAAATGGACAAATATAGTCAACTCCAGCAGGAAATACTTGTTATATATTCAGAGCACAATACTGTATATTTTAATTAATTAATTAATTACTGTGTCGTTTAATTAATGAAACTCAGAGTAGTTTAATTAATGTAATACGCTTACTGGTTAGCCTGCCTGTCACAATATAATATGCAAGAGTTCCATACAGAGAAGCATAAGCATAACAACCTAACTTGCTTAATTTTTCCTCCTCAAAATTCAGTGTTTTATTTAAAAAAAATCAGGTCACTCCCACATAAATATCCCTTCACATAAATCCTTTATTAGTATTTCATGTTGCTTTATGGGCAATGCTGACATGCGTATTTAGACCTAGTTTTCATCATGAATTGCAGCACACCATTTTAACAGATTGCCAGCAACAAAGTTTACTTAAATTTGAAATAAACTTCATATTTCTTTATGAAATACCTGTAATAGTTTCTGTATTTGGGTTTTTTTAATGATTGGAATGGTTCTTAGTAACTGTCAATAGATTTTTCAAACTTTATTTATCTATTTATTTTATATGGCTACTCACTTGCTAACTGTAGCATTAGGTGGGCAAAAGTGACTCAAATATATCAGGATTTATAAGATATCCCAAATCTAGTTGCTTCTGGATTTTCTTCAGTATTACCAAGCATTAGCTTTATGGATACACTTCCAGGAACGAATGGAGGTGTTTCCATGAAGACTATTGAAAACTTATGAAGAACATTATCTTCTCTAACGTATTCAGAGAGATATTCAAAGTCTGCTGATGCAAGAGAAAATAAATTCTTAAGGTCATAACTGTGCTGCTTTTCACTAATATCCATTTTTGCAGATATGTTCATCATATTCATTATTCTTTCTGGATTTACAGCAGGGTTCTTTTATTTCAGGGTATCGGCAGTCCTCTGCCACCACAATGAAGATCAGAACATTGCCAAAATGTTTCATTCCACAGGATTATGAGAACTGCTGAAATAAGCATAATTAGAGGGAAAGAAAACTAATGAGCTGGTGACTTGTTTCAGCTCTCTCAAAAGCTTGATGCAAAGTGGAAAAAATATTTAAACTGAGGAGAAAGGGGGAAGAACACATACTAATGACAACCAAGCATACACCTCCTCCTGTTACCACTTGTCCAAACATAACACTGCTCTGCTAATTCAGCCATTTTTTCTGTGACTGAGTAATTTTTCTTGTCTAGCTAAGCACAATTCTGAGAACTAAGTCTATTTTGCACTTGGGAACATTGATAACACTAAATAAGAAAATACTTCCCTCTGGAAAGCAAAAATTACCACAGTGCAGTACTCTATTTGCATACACTTATTTCTGAAAAGCAAAAAATCTGGCAAATCAGAAGCATACCATAGTTGAAACACTGCTTCTTTCTATGTTCCTGAAACACAGAAATCACTACATTACTGTAATATTTCTCGTATATAGTTCATTTTTGTAATTTCATAGTATTTTTAAAAACAAAAATCTAAGAATCCTAATTTCTATATAAATTCATTACTGAATCAAAGTGTCCATAGTGCTACAGAACCAAACCTATTATGAAGAAAATAAGGCTGTGATTTCTGTTCAGTTATCAATAGTAGGCCCTAATGAACTCAATGGAATTTATTGCTGAGCAGATTTCTCCAGAATTGCAGTTTAAGTATCCCAAATAATAGATGGAAAGAGAAAAACATGAGTGAGAGCCAGTGTGGTATAGTGATTAAGGTGTTGAGCCAGAGGCAGAAAGACCCAGGTTCTAGTCCACTCCCAACCATGGAGGCTCATTGGGCGACTTTGGACTAGTCACTCTCTCTTTATCCAACCTACCTCACAAGTTATTGTTCTGGGGAAAAATAGGAGGTGAGAGTACTACGTATGCCATCTTGAGTCCCAAAATGAGTCCCAAAACTTTCCTAGAGTTCTGAGCCACCTAGCAGATCTAACTAGGCCAGTCTATGCCTCAGATAGGTCTAAGCTAGCTACCTTTCACCTTCAGACAAGATTTCCAACTTGGTACACCTGTTCTTATCACTCACCATATTAGCAAGGAAAACCAGAAGTCCACTTATGTGCCAGTTAATATCCTGGGGCAGGTGTAAGCTCTCTAGTGCTGAGATATCTGATGCATCTACACAGCTTGCTGCTTAGTATTTGGATCCACTAAAGACTCATAGGCCATACATTTGCAGCTCCCTGTCAGGACTGGAGAGCTCTGTCAAGGTACCACTGTAGGACCAACCAGACCTACCACCTGTTCATGCCTCTCCTTCTGGCACTTCCATGTGCTCTTGCCACCACTTTGGAGATGGGAAGGAAAGCCACTGATGCCCTCTTTAGTGGGTTTCATCTTGTCATGGCCAGCTACTGTGATCTGATTTTCTCTTTACTTTATGTGTTCTACACCACTCAAAGTAGAGTAACTGGCAATGGAAAAAAGCAACCCAAAAGAGAGACAAGTCTCACTCTCAACTGCCACATTCCAGGCAATTTTCTTCAGGGGAAACAGAACATAGAAAAGAAGATGCTTCTTTGGCAAGTAATAACTGCCATGGATGCTTCCCACCAGTCTGTATCACCACGTGACTGGTCTCTGAAAACAAATACGCTTTTACTCTTCTGCAGACAGCAGAGTAAAGACTGAGAAAGAGGGTTTACCTTCTATCAGATGTCAAAACTCTTAATCCCTGTCTTCTAGCTAGAAAAGATGGGGTCGCCCATTTCTATGAGCTCATCTTCGGGTGACTGAGAAACAATGAAAATAAACATCTGGCTTGTATCTTTATTCTGTTCTGTATTCTTGGATTGACTTTGAAGAGAAATCTAATCTCTCTCTAGGAACAGAACTTCACATTGGTAGCCCCTCCAAATCAAAATCAATATAAAATACAAATAATTTTAAAGTACTTATTTTTAGTCAGAAATAAAAGATCATATTCCATTATGAAAAAGATAAGTAGCACTGAAAGAATACACTGACTGTGATCCACAGAAAAGTTCTATTTGAAACTGAAATAATTTAGAACAATGTAGAATGCAGTATTACTCAATAAAATCTTACCCCAGCATAATTTTGGCATAAACCTCTTTGTTAGTCCTTGAAATTTCCCTCAGAGAGGTAATTTCTGCATCAAACCAGAATCCTCTTTCTTCTGGACTCTCTACATTGTAATTAACCATCACCATATCACCCACATGTAATTCGTTCCACTTCAAAATAGCTCTTGCTCGAGGCCGCAGATTATGGACAGTCATTTCCACAATGCCGCTTTCTGGATATCTTGAAGAAAGAATAAAAGCAAAAGTTATAATAACCTCAACATCATAACACAGATTTAAAAAATATCTATACTGTAGTAAAACACCTTTAAAAACATATGGTATAATCAAGCCCAAGATATATGGGAACCTGCTTTTGAAACTTAGGGGAATTTTACTGACACAGTGAGAAGTGTTGTCCAAAGGCCATGATTGCATATGAAGGATTGTGAAGATGCTTAAAGTCTTCAGTGGTGGTCTTATATTTAAAGATTGTGAGACATACTAATAGAACTGAGCTGGCCTTTAACTGTAACAAAATAAATACTGCTGGGACATCAATATAATTCATTTATAGAACAAGTGTTTTTATTTTCTCAATGTATCTCTAAACCAGTTAACATAAATCTGATTAACTACTTTATTTTGAGATATACAGAAAAACAGTAGACTCACTCCAGTTCTAAAAATGTATTTGGAAATAAGTCCTAGTAATTTCAGTAAAACATAAGACTCAGAATTTCAGTGACATTGCAGTTTGCAAAAGTAATTATAACAAAAGATCTCAAGAGGCATCTAAAATTGCAGTTAATGTTTCAACAACAAATAGTAGTAGGCCAATATTGAGACATTTTAGATCAAAGTTCTTACATGTCCAATTACACTTTTTAAACTTTAAACACAAATCCATATCATATGATTAATAGTTATCAAATGTTTAGAGCTTTGGGAGATTGCTGTTCTAAGAAATAGAAAACCAAAGACCACTTGGCTGCATAAATCGAGTTATACAACTACTTATAAGAACAGATTAAAGATATTTTTGAAAACTACCTCTGTATCAATAAAACAAACAAACAAACAAACAAGATCCATTTAAATAGGATGGAAGCAACTACTTCCCCACATTCCATGTTGCAGATTAACACTTATGATTATGACATATGATCACAACTATTTCTGGTTATTATCAGTTAGCAAAAAAGGCTCTTAAAATAAAAAGATGAAATACAGTGTCAATGGAATTCAGTATCTAACCCTTGAAAACTCCTAGAATTCCACTTCAGCAAACAACTTTTACAGTGTTGCATTTTATAAAACAAGCATGGGGTTCTTTTGGCCCTCAGACCATTGTATTATCCATCCATCCATCCATCCATCCATCCATCCATCCAGCCAGCCAGCCAGCCAGCCAGCCAGCCAGCCAGCCGTCCCTCCTCCCCAAGCTCTTCCTCGCCAGC